TGCCTCAGCCTCCTGAGTGCTGAGATGGCATTCCCCACCATGTTCGGCTGGGACCTCAGCTTCTTCCTGTGTAGATTCTTGCAGGAGCTCTCAGTTGTCCTTTGGGTTTTTGCTACTGCACATATCGAAGATCAACAATGCCTCCCAGGGGCTGGGAGGCTCCTGGAGACTCAGAGAGTCAGGCCTCCTACTGAACCGGGGCTGCCTTTCGGCAGGGCCCTCAGGTGATTCGTGCTGTCAGGGCAAGTTAGCTCCTCCTTGTGTATGTAAAGCAGTGGTTTCTAACAGAGACCCACCCACGCTTATATTGTTTTGTAGGTAGGGTCTGTTTACTTCTTAGACTATGTTTTATCCAACTTAAATTCTGCCTGTGTGTGATACAAAGAACCTCGTAGAAACAACCTGAAGAAATCTGACAAGAGCTCAGTTCCCCTAGGCGGGGCCTTCGGTGTTTTTAATACATGAGTCCCTTGTTCTGCAGGGGGACCCAGCTCTCACTGGGTGACGCTGGTGTCTGCAAGGCACGGACTGTTGGCAGTTTGGTGCCTGCATGTAAAACTCCTGAAGAAGCCAGCAAATCCCTGACAATAAGCATGTATTTAGGGGGAAAACCTCCACAGTATTACCAGCAAGTTAGGAATATTAGCAGTGATTTCCTTGTCACGTTTATTTTCAGATTATTTACAAGATTATTTTTACAAGCTTTAGTTTATCATTTCTAGCTTGGCCCTCAAGGTATTTATGTGTACTTTCTTCTTTTTAGTTGTCCTAATTAGTTTGAGGATATAAGCTGTCGTTCCTCTAATGGAGCTTTGGTGAATCTTATTTAAAAGTGTTCTTGTGATGCTGCTGGCTTCTTTGATAATATGGACCTCTTCACATAGCTCTTAGATGAACTTGGGACAATATGTAAAACGCCAAATTGATCTTCCTTTGGGAAACTAACAAAAATTCTGGCACAGAAATACATCTGTTTACCTGGGTGCTTTTGAGTCTCAATTCAGAGAATGGCAGTTGATGGTGAGAATCCTCACCTCTCTGTCTCTCACACTCACACACACACACACACAGGAAAGGCAGTCAGATTTGGTGTGTAAAATAGTAACAAAGGACAGATGTGTTCAGAATAGATACAGATGAAGTCTCCCTTTGAAGAACCTCAAGTTAAATCATGAAAAAAGTACCTTTAGGACGAGTTTATAAAATTGATGTTTTCCATCAGAGTTGGTAGCATGGTATAGTTTAGATCCTGCATGGTATAATATAAATAGTTCTTAGAGGCAGGGCAAATTTATAGATATTAGGTTCATTCTGGTAAATTAAACAAGACCAAAGGTGCTTAGGGACGGTACTTAGGGCGAAGCCACTCTGCCTGTTCAGTGTGTGTCCTGAGACTTTCAGCGTGGCTAAGGTGTGTGGCTGACGTCCCCCTGCTCAGATGGGACTCGGGCCCTGAGCGCTTTGCTCAGCCCCGGCGTGGCGCATTCCATTTCAAACAAGATAGCTGTTGACCGGAGAAGGTAGACTGCCTCGCTTGGGCAGGCCTGTCATTCACCAGTTCTGATCTTTAGAAGCGTGCCAAGATTTCAGTCTAAATGATACTTAAATGATTCAACCTGGGTGTCTCCCTGCTGGGAGGAGCAGGTTTTACACGTTCCACAACAAAGGCAGCTTTTCTCGAGACAAAATGTTGCTTAATTTTCCATTTTGATTTCCTTAAGACTCAGCATTTTAAATAAGACATTCCCTGGGCTGATTTAATAGGAAAAGTTTGTAAAGTGATCCATCACTTTACATCCATTACATCCATTACTTTATGGTGTGTTCATGTGTTGGCGTAAGGTTAAGTGAATTACTTTTTATTTATTTAATTCCCTCCAAGTACCTGAGACTAGCCATAAATTATATTTCAACTATGATGTTAGAGGAGTGGTGTAATAATCTGTGTTTATTTTCCTCAAGTAGACAGGTAAAATCATTCTTTATAGGAATGGGAATGTTACTGTAATGTATATAGCTAGGCTTCTAAAACATTAATCTGATTGTAAAAGTTTGGTTACTGAAATATGTTTCTTGTTAGGAAGTTTTTATAGACAAGTTCTATTCTCTTGTGCCATATATTTCCATTGTGTTTGCATTTCTCTATGAATACATAGCTATGTGGCTTTTTAGTGCATTTTCAACCTTGTGAATTCATAAAAGGAAAAATAAGTTTTTGCTTATTTGAATTTAATGATTGGATTTAAATGTAATGGCTGGAAGTAGACACACACACACACACACACACACACACACACACGAGTCAGTAGACAGTAACTGACAGGAGGGCACAGCCTGGAAGTCCTGTGTCATTTTTTGGTAGCACTGGGTCTATTTATAAAAAGATTTTCATCATTGATCTTACTGTTCTCACACTTCACTATGAAAGTGAAAGACACAGTGCTACTAAAATGCAGATTCCTGGGTGCCATCTCTCGAGCTGTGGTCTAGCGGCCCAGGAAGGAGGCCCAGGGATCTGTATTCTTAATAAGCACCCCTGCTTGATCTGGTCCCTTCTCTGTTAAAAGTTTCCTTACTTGAAGGACAAGACAAAAGGAAGAAGAGACTTGTTAAAATTTCACATCTTGGCTTTAACTCATTTCTAGTTTAAAAGAAAACAATCCTAGGTTAACCTTATCGCTAACATCTCTCGCTGACGCGTCAGCTCACAGTCCTTTGGGGGAAAACGCAGTTTCTGAGACGGAAAAATGATTCTCATGAGTCATCTGTTGACAGCATTCGTGCGCCAGAGGGCGCCCTGCAGAGCGTGTGGCGCTTCAGGGAACAGGGGAACCGGCCTAGGTGTGTTGAAACGAGTGAAGGAAGGGATGATTGCTTCGGGTGACCGAGGAACAATCTTAAAATGGCAGTGTAGAACCTTGGGAATGTAAACTATAAAGAAAACAAGGTACTGGGGAAAAGTTACATGGATAGAGGAGAAACTATCGTTTCTGTACTGAGGCTGAAATCTGGGCCTTTGCGCAAAGCTACATCCCAAACCCTTTTCATTTTTTATTTTGAGACAGTGCCTCGAAAAGTTGCACAGGGAGGTCTGGAACTTGCCATCCTCCTGCCTCAGCCTCCCAGAGAGCCGGGATTGCAGCTGTGTGCCACCACGCTCATCTTAGAGGAGGAACTTTGGAACAGTGAGGGTTTGGAAGTGAACGAGTGATGATTTTCACACATGAGTGATGATTTTCACACAGGAGTGCTCGTCTTCACAGTAACCTTGACAGGAGGCATTTCTAGCCTGAGTCACAGATGAGACTTGCATGTGGCTGGTGGGTGGCAAGGCCAGCGGGTGAAGCAGCTGCCTCTGGCTCAAGCCCTGGCTCTTCCTGTGCACTGTCTTGGTTCTACTTGGATCACTCAAATGACGGAGAGGCAGCAAGGATGTTGTCGGCTGTGCTGTGTCAGAGTAGAATGAAAAACAGGCTGAGGGCACGTGCGGGCACTTTTCAAATGCAGTAAAGGGTCAAGAGGCGAAGAATGCACCTTCTCCTAAGACCAAAAGGAAGGGAGATACAAAATGTGGGATATCTACACTGTAGAATATTACTGAGCCATTAAAAAGAATGAAATACTGATTCACACAATAAAATGGACCTTCCTTAAAAAAATACTAGGCTCAATGAAAAGAGCCAGTCACAAGAGGCCATGTGGTATGTGGTTCCATTCCTGAGAAATGTGCAGAATGGGCAAGTACAGAGACAGCGTGAGACAGGGCTTGGCAGGAAGCACTTGCTCACTGCACAGGTCCTTACTTTCATTTATTTATGCATTTTGAGGGAGGAGGTGGTAGAAATGGAGCTGTGGGTGGTGATGGTTGCTCAGCTGCATGTCTGTAGCGAAACCCACTGAACGGAACCCTTTAGAAGGGTGCGCTCCTGGTATGTAAATGATGCCTAAAGAGAATAGTGTTTGGGTTTGGATATGCTAGAAATTAATTTGTAGACGTTTACTCCCCAAGCGTAAGTATAGCCTCATTTCTGGACTAGAGATGGGACCAGCCCAGCGCAGGCCCTGAGGAGGTGTGGGGCTTCACTGAGTGAATGCGGGTCCTCTGCGCCAGCTGTCACCCGTGAGGCAGGGCTGGCTGTGTGGGTCCTCCAGCCCCTAACTCAGTGCCAGTCTCACCCTGATGTTTTGCGCAGCCAACATCAGTAATCACTCTCGTGCAATCAATTCTGAATATTTCAGAAATTAAAATTGAGGCAGAAATTTTGACAGGCTTTCGCTGCAAACATGTAGAATCCGTTTCTTCTCCACAGTTAAATTGTTTTATGTAGCATCTCTGCCTGGCCATACATCGTTGTTTCCAATGGTTATTTTTGCACAAAATCAAATCTTAATATGAAACAAAGATCCTTAAAGGCGTGTGAAACATTTCCTAAAGAGTTTGCAATTTCAGTTGTTCGGTACCGAGAGTGTTTATTATGGTTGTGTTGTGTTAGAAACTGCAGGAATCTTTTACGTAAATAAACCTATGCATACGGCAAGTGTATTACACAAGAAGCAGTTTAATGAAGCTTGACTTTCATTTCAGAGATGTTAACATTTGCCCAAAAACCAAAGGGAGAAAATTATTACCACGTCTTAATATGTTTATTGCCGACACATGAACGTCCTGGTTTCCCTTGAAATGTAGAGATGCCCAAATATTGTCAAAACAAAAACTGTTGCTCCACTGAAACCTGACTATTGGGAAAGCAAACTCTGGGAGGCTGAGGCAGGAGAATCACAAGTTGGACCCCAGCCAGGGCAACTTGACTTAGCGAGACCTTGTCTCAAACCTTTTTAAAAAGGGGTGGTGGTGTGCCAGGGAAGTAGATCAGTGTGAAGGCCCTGGGTTTGATCTCTAAGGCTGTAAAAACAAACAGCCTCAATCCATTGATATGTGATAAGCAGGCTTAGGTCTGCAGTGCCTGCTTTAGTAATTTCTGTGTCCTGCTTTTCCGCAGCATGGGGGAGAGCGTCTGTGGCCATGCTCTTCTGCGGCTTCATCATCCTGATCATCTGCTTCATCCTCTCCTTCTTCGCCCTCTGCGGACCCCAGATGCTGGTCTTCCTGAGAGTAATCGGAGGCCTCCTCGCCCTGGCTGGTAAGGCCCGGTGGCCGCAGTCCTTCTTTGTACCTTCTCAGGCACCGGAGCATCACGTTCCATCCCACGGGAAGACTGCTGGCGCGACAGGTCACTGGAGCAGGAGCAGCAGCGCAGATGTACCTTAGAAGCTAGATCCCTGGCCTGTGCCCTGTCCTATGCTCCCCACTCAAGTGACCGGACTGCCCCCCCGCATGCCCCTGTGGTCCCCTGCACTGACACCTAAGGGAGGGCCCAAGGCTGCGTTAGTCACAGCAGTATAGCCCCATGTGGCATGGTCCCAGCCTGGCTCCCTGGGCCCGGTGCCGAGGGGACCTGAATGGTGCAGAAGCGTCTCACGTTGAGGGAGTTCTGTGACCCCGATGAGCTGGGCTGGGAAAGGGTATCATGACGCAGGGCTTAGGCCGGGCAGGCAGTGGGGACTCAGACTTAGGCGACAGGAGGAAACCGGTTGTGCAGGTGGGCAGGGCGCAGGCTGAACTTCACTAGTGCAAGTAGACCTGAGAGTTTAGGACGACAAATGACTGGGGATTTTAGGTAGCACCTGCCCAAGGAACGAATCTCAGGTGTGAAGCTGGATTCAGATACACAACGAGATTCTCTGAGGAGGGGAGAAGAGGCGAAGGTACAGATCAGGGCCGAGCAGGCTCGTTTCTCAAGGCACCGGCCAGGGTTCCTGCGAGCACGGCAGAAGCCCCGCTGCAGGTGTGGGGCCGGAGAGAAAGTGAGCGGAAAGTGAACCGGGGGCATCGGGAGCCGGTTGAGGCTTGCTTCTGCAGGGGGCCTGTGACACCAGCACTGAGCCCAAAGGGGGCCGCTCCCCACGGCTCCGGGGCTCAGAAAGGCTGTGTGCACAGAGCCAGGGGCCGTGGGACAGGGGCAGGGGAGGAGGGCCCCAAGACATCTGGTCAGGCGAGCGAGGCCCGTCCCGTGTGCTGCACGTCTGAAAGTTCCTTCTGATTCCAAGCAGCGTGTACGTCGTGCTTCTCGTGTTTAGAAGTTCGCTTTCTGAATAATATTTTACAATTGGAAAGGGCTTGGGATCCCGCGCACTGACCCCTACCTCCATTTCTGTTTGGCTTTTCCTGGTCCAAATGTAGGAGACTTTATCACAGGAACAGCATCACTTTCCCTGTCTTAGAAGGAGAGGTGTGTGCCTGCTTCAGTTGCCAGTAGGAATAACCCGCTAGGGCTTTAACCTTAGTCGAAGAATCCTAGAGAGTCCTGTATGGCCGAGGAGGTCGCTGCTAGGCAAGTATCCACAAGAGTTAAAAGCAGGGACTTGAACACAGATTTGTAACCCAAATACACAGCAGTTTTATTCACAGTAGCTAAAAGTTAGCAGCAGCCGAAGTGTCTGCCAGCAAATGAGTGGCCATGCAAAGTGTACTATATGCCTGCAGTTGAATATTACACAGCCATAAAGAGGAATGCAATTTCAGTATTTGCTACAGCATGATAGACCTTGAAAACCTTAAGCCAAGTGAAATAAGCCAAGCACAGAAGGACAAAGAGGAAGTACTTAGAAAAGGCAAATTCCCAGACACAAACAGAAGTCCCCGGTAGGCAGTGGGAATTGGGGTATGGAGAGTTATTCTTTTCAGAGGGCGCGGTGTTTATGTGTGGGTGGTGAAAAGGCTTTGGGTCATAATGATAGCTACATTACAATGTAAATGCACGTAAAGCCACCAAATTGCACACTTACAAATGATTAAAATGCTACATATTGTGCTGTATATATTTTACCACAATAAGAATAAACCTAGTATATATTTTTAACCTATTATTCATTTTTAGAAATAAAACAGTAAGATCTAGTTATGGCTGTCCAAGCTGACAGGGGTTATGATTGTACAGAAAACTGGTTCTTTTTTTTTTTTTTTGGTTTTTCTCTGGTACTGGGAATCGAACTCACAACCTTGCGCTTGCCAGGCAGGCGCTTTTGCCGCTGAGCTAAATCCCCAGCCCCAGAAAACTGGTTCTGTTGTCCTGCAACAGATGTAAAGCTGAAAAGTCTCGCTTGATCTTGTGTTCCTGTTTTCTAATTTAGTATTCATTCTCTCTTTTAAAATTTGACAAAGACTAAGAAGTGAATAGAGGAGAATAAAGAGTCTAGAAATTTCAATGTACTTTTAGTGAAAATACTGAACAAAGCCTACTTGGTTTTTACGGTATATTTCACAGCAGCAGTTGCTGGAAAAATTGGGTTAAAATTAGAAAATGTGAACACTGATACAATTTAAATTTTGTAAGAATTCATCCAAACCATTATGAAAATTTCATGTATGGTGAACCAAAATAGATAAACAACAGTTCACATTTATTGCCAGGAAAATTAGAGGTCGGTGCAGAAAAGGATTACTTTTGTGTCTTACACAATATTTTGCAATAAAGGGCAAACTGAACTAGTAAATTTGCTATTTAAAATATGCATTAAGTTGAGAAATGTTTTAAGACCTTCATCAAGCTTGTTCTTCATGATTGCCACAGACGAGGAACATTTCCACTGAGTTGAGAAATGGAAGCAGCTAAACAACGTACTTGCCTATCTAGCACTTGAAAAGAAGAAAAAAGGAAGCCTACTTTTGGGTATATCTGTGGAGCTAGTAGAAAAAAAATAAGATGGTAGAAAAAGCAGTGGTTGTGTGACACACACCTATAATCTCAGCACTCAGGAGGCTGAGACAGGAGGATTAGCACAAGTTCAAGGCCACCCTAGGCTGCATAGTGAGTTCAAGACCAGTCTGAACTGTAGTGAGACCCTGTCCTTTTTTTTTTAATCCTGTCTTAAAAAACAAAAATAGTGGTGACAAAATGGCAGTGTGTATATATGAGATTTTAAGTAAAAAGACGCAGAATGTAACCTTGCATGAAATGATGCATTATAGCTAGATAATATCATGCATGGTCATTGAAAAAGCTACAGAAGTATCTTTAATAACATTTTACTTATTTTAAAGTTGCTGAAGCTGTCACTGTGGTGATCAGTCATAAGTGTGAGCATGTGACTCTCTTAGCAGTTTGGAAATCTTGACTCTCGCTTTCCTTTTTCTACCCTTGCTTATGCTTTCCCGAAGCACTGTACTGCTTCTTCTCCTCCGTTTCCCCAGCCTGGAGGGCCCTTCCCAGTCTCTGGCTCTCCTTGCTGTTTATTCTCCAGAATCCCGGCTTCTCTGAGAGCTTTTCTGGTGGTTCCCCACACTGACCATTCCCATCAGGGCTCACTGCTTCGTTTACGCATTCACTGATTGGGTATCAGGAAGGAGACAAGTGTGTGCACATGCATGTTTAGATGGAATTTTTGCTAACCCTGAATATATTAATTTCATTTGGCACTGGAACTGCAAAGGTTAGAAAACCAGATTCTACCAGCTTCCTTTTGTTGTACAACACAATTTTGTACTTCAGTCCAAAATGATATGCTTACCCGTGTAATATAAAGTGATTCTGTGTCCCGTCTGTATTTCACGTAGTGAGTATCTATGATCGATATTATCAGTTCCAGGTATCTGCTAACACACAATAGCTAATGATCTGTTTTAGCTCATGATTAACTAGACTCGGCTAGTCCCTTTAGCATTTTTATGTGGGTTAACACATCCATCCATCCATTCATTCATTCATTTTGAGACAGGGTCTCGCTGTGTATTTCAGTCTCGGCTTGAATTCGCTATGTAGCCCAGCTGGCCTCAAGCGCATGGTGATCCCCTGGTGATCCCTCTGCGTTAGGCTCCCGAGTGCTATGATTGCCGGCAAAAACGTTGTGAGGAGCAGGAGGAGGAGGAGGAGTTGCTCTGTTGTTAGTTTGCTTCATTTGTGTGTGCGTGCGTGCTTTCAGACTCTGGGATGTTTTCTCTTCCCCGTAGCTGTGTTCCAGATCATCTCCCTGGTCATCTACCCTGTGAAGTACACCCAGACCTTCAACCTCCATGACAACCCTGCGGTCACTTACATCTATAATTGGGCCTATGGTTTCGGCTGGGCGGCCACGATTATCCTGATCGGCTGTGCCTTCTTCTTCTGCTGCCTGCCCAACTACGAAGATGACCTGCTGGGCAATGCCAAGCCCAGGTATTTCTACACCTCTGCCTGAGGCGGGAGGCGAGCGAGACAGGCTCGAGCCGAGGGCACCCGGAGGAGGCGAACCTTCACAGGCCTCTGGCATCTGTTTCGGCAGCGTCCGGAAGCTGCAGCCCGCTTCGAACCTCTTTTGGCAGTGTTCATAGGGTTAAACTGGTCGGAAATGCTAAAATAGTTTGGGAGAAAATATTTCTTAGGTTGTGTTATAGTTTCATATTCCTCTGTGTTTTGTAGAATTTATAAAAAGATGTTTCTTTTTACTAGTTACTTAAAATATGCCAATATCTCCTATGTCTGTCTATAGCCTTTATACGGCATTTATAAAAGAAAACAAACTTGAAAGGTAGAAATGTGACAGCTTCCGGCATGTAGTAATCTGATCAAGTTTGGGGTTTTTCTCCCCCAGATAGAATGGATTGTTTATATTAAGGGCTAAGGAGAAGAGGAACTATTGGTAAAGATTGTGTGTAACCAAACATTCTAAAATTAATGTAAAACAAAAACTCTTTATTTTCAAGTAAAGAAGCAAACTAGTTTCCCAAATGCGTATCATTTTTGAGAGTTTATAATTCATATCCTAGTAATTGTTTTTTGGTACACTGCACATTGACTTGGTTTTTACACAGAAGGAAGTATTTCTCTGTGGCCCAAGCAGATTGCAGTAGTGAGGCCTCTTTAAGTACAAAAAGGCTAAGGTGAAATTTGCTCTTTTAATGAAAGTAGCTTACAGGGTTAGGGTGTGGGGAAACGCTGTATTAATAAATCTGTACTGCTTTGTGTCTATGGTCAGGACCTATGTAGGGTTGAAAGATGGGCCCGATCTGAGTCACTGACTGATGGGAGTGATGAAGCCATGGTAGTAAGGCGTTAGGACGGAAGTGCCATTGAAACAGGACAAGGGGAAGAAATGACTTGAATTTTTCATCTCTGGTTTAGCTGGGCTCTAACTACATAGACACAGCTCTGTTAGATTTTAACTGTCACAGAAACCTAAATATAGTTAAAAACCTGGTCTTTCTTGGTAAAATGTCTAATGTAAAACACACAACAGGAGAATTCGGGGAGATGAATTTCTCTGAACATATATTGGATGAATTGTTATTATTTTTTTACCATTTATACTGACATAATGAAAACCAACTCATTTTATATCGCAAATTACTATTTTGTAAGTTGTACCACAAGCAATGAAAGTTTTCATTATGTTTTTTCTCAATAAACCAGGTGTTAAAATCTTGAGTCTAGTTTGTAAGTTTTGTTGTTTTTGTTGTTGTTCTTCTGTTCTGGGGGGTGGGAATTTTTGAAGAATTCTCTCAGTAAGAACATGAAGCAAAAGGAAAGTTGCTTTTTCTCAGTTTTAAAGGTCTTGCTCGTTTTGTGTCGATAACCACTTTTGGATGAGTGTGGATGAATTCTAGCAGTCTACTCTGAATTTTTCCTCCGTGAACAATACCCTGTGCCCAGATGTCAGACAGCATCTGCCTAGGGCTGCCGGCCAGAGGAAGAGGTCTAGGAAGTTTCTGGAAGGTCCAGCCCCAGGGCACAGGTGCACGGTTTGGCGGAAGGTCTGCCCCCTCTGCTTTTCTCTTCCCAGCCTCTTGCCTGTGAAGGGGTCCTCTTCCATTAGGGAGCGAAGCAGCATTCACTCCACTTCTTTTCCCTGCCCGTTCACTTATGTCCCACTGCTGGCCGTGGCAGATTCTACAGCATGTGTAGCTGGGAAGAACGGCTGCAGGGTGCCCGGCCCATGATGGAGTCTCTCGAATGCTTGCTTTGGCTAGTTGGTCCTTAGCAGTGCATTTTTCTTAGGCCTTTCAAAATATGGGATGAATGCTTCCCATCATAAATTTAAAGGAATGTGGCCTGGGTGATTATTTATGCCAAAGTGACTAGAGAATTTGAAGCAGTAGTTGACAATGTCAAAACTACCATCTGTCAGGATAGAGCACAGCACATTCAAGAAAATAATGGATTTCTAGAGATTCAGAAACTCAGTCTCTTGTTATACCCTAAAGTGACTCTGATTGTGAGGTCTCCAAAGCACACACTTCTGTTTTGTTTTGTTTTTTTTTTTTTGGTTTTTCTCCGGTATCGGGAACCGAACTCACAACCTTGCACTTGCTAGGCAGGTGCTTTGCCGCTGAGCTAAATCCCCAGCCCCAGCACACACTTCTGTTCTGGACGTTTTTCCCCGTGGAACTTCCTCTTGTCAGTAACACGCTGTACTAAATGGTGTACGCTTGGGAAAAACACAAGTTCCTGAGACCAGGGACATGAAATATTTGTGACAAAGACATGCTGTGTCATTGTTTAGCTGCAATGTTTCATTTCTTTTAGGACTGTTCAGCCTTTCATTCCTTATTGGTTCAGATTCACCAAGACAGATACTTTTATGTCATACACAGAAAGGAAATTCTGGAGAGTAATGAAAAATTCAACAGAAAAGCCACCTAAAGATTAACAACGCCTTCCTGAGCTTTCCCATGGTAAAGCTGAGGTGGTTTTGGTTCTCTAATTACATCGAGTCCCCACCCTTCAAATAAGCAGTTCTACATTCCCACACAATTACCTTGTGCTCACACTACTAATAGATATGCTAAAAGCCACTTATTGTTTAATGTAACAAAGCAGCAATAAATCAAGGTCTTCTGGCTGTCACACTGGTATATACTGTGGAATATACTTACTTTTCACTTTGAACCTGTATTCTGAGCTGGGTGTGTGGCACACCTGTATTCCTAGCACTCCAGGAAGCTGAGGCAGGAAGATCACAACTTCAAGCTGTCTGGGCAATTAAGCAGATTTAGCACAACTTTGTCTCAAAAAATCAAAAGTGAGTTGTAGACGTAACAGTATGAAAGCCCTGGGTTCAGTTGCCCTATGTCATGGCTTGTGTCTAGATATCCCCCCAAAGCCTCATGCAGTCATAGATGGGACTTTTTCAGAGGTGGCTGGATCTAGAATGTGCGACACTGGGATCAATTCATGGCGAAATGCTAGGTTCAAGGGCACTAGGATTAAGGGTGTGAGTGCTACCCGCCCTAAGCAGCCTGGATAGGATATAAGGGGTAGAAAGAGGCTTGTCTTCTCCCTTCCCTGCTTGCTTTTGCCGTCTTCGTGCCATGAACTGGTTCTCTGTGATGCCAGTCTGCTGTGAAGCCAGCCAGTGATGGACTGAAACTTCTACAAACTGTGAGCCAAAGAAATCTTTCTTCTCTTAACATGGGGGGGCTAGGTATTTTGTCTCAGTGATGAGAAAGTAACTAATAAATACTACAAGCAATACAAAACAACAGAAACATAGACTGCAGGATGTACATGAGAGGCTGTCCTTTTGAAGGAAATGAAAGCAACAGGAAAATATAACTACTAGGCATGAATTAGGCTGGTTTTGCTACAGAACCCCTGTGACATTCCTACTGACATAAACCTGCAAGTGAAATCGTCAGTCTTCTAGGCTCACCCTAAGCGGCGTATGTGAGTCCCACCTGGCTTCGGCTCGCACTCACTAGCTATTCAGTGTTGGACAGGTCCTGTCCTGCTGGGCTCACCATCCTCTCCTGTCAAATGATCGCACATGACCCCTTTTCCTTCAAAATTCTCTGGTCAGAGTGTAGTTACTCATTTGTTAATTTACAAAAATACCAATGCAAAAGGGAAAAAGGTTAACTTGAAGCTTTTTTTCAAATTGCTTTTCATAACCGGATACTGCAATTAAAATCATCTTAATATTGTATCATCTTAATAAGGGGGAAAAAAAGCCCTGTTTATATTTCAGAGAGCTCCTGATTCAAGGTGGTGAGGTGGACCCTATCAAATACCTCTTTTCTAACCAGTAGAGGAAAAAACCTAGAATAGTAAACAAGGATCAGAAGGGATAAATCTGTAAGAAGAGAGGAATCCACTAGCTGACTAGTGATTTTGTCAAGTTTCTGGAAGGTGAAAATGAGTGACATCGTCCACACCCCGGGGAAGCTGCCACCCTGAGCAAACAGTTTTCTGGGAGGGATCACTGTGCTTCCTGGTAAGTGCCAAAGAGGTGCCAGGCTTGGTGCCAGCGGGAGAGGGTGGGAATGGGGCAAGGGAGGGTAGCACTTAGAGATCTGCTCCATGAGGCACACTACCCCCACCCCAAGGCCCAGAAAAGATGACCAAGCTGACTGACTGGCACAGCACTTTCTCAGGGCTCCCTGTGTATTCATCTGTGGACCCCTCACATTTACTTCTCATACAGGTTCAGTTATTCTTCCTTTTTCAGGAAGGAATGGAAGCACAGGAACACGAAATGACTTTCCCAAAGCAGACAGCCTGCAAACACTAATGACAACAGTCCTTGGAGACCAGTGGTGGGCGGAGTTCAGTACTGCAGGGCGAGGCACAGTGAGAATTACCTCCTCTGCACCGTGGGGGTGTCCCCGGGCTTCCTCTCCTCCCCTCCTGGCTCCCTCAGGGCCTTCCACTTCTCACTCCAAGGACAGCCTGCCTTTCCCACGTGTTTGGGGCATAGTCTAGAGAAGAGGTATGGGGGAGGTGAAGGGCCAAAAGTGTAAAGGACCAGGCCTGCGCGAAAGTGGATTCCCCCAGGGGGCAAAGGAAGGCAATGAGTGGAAAAAAAGAAAGTGAGATTTGAAAAATCCACCTCCACCACCAATCTACCTCACGGCAGTGTTTGAGAATCGCCGTTCATGCTTTAGAACGAGTCTTCATCGTCAGACTGCCGACTTTTGGAGCCCTGCTGTGGGACTGGACCACTTGTCACCATCTCCAAACCATCACAGGGCCGTGGTGGAAGTCAGAGTCCCGTCTTGATTTGGACAACTGATGGAGAGGGCTTCTAAAATAAAATCCCGCAGCAGCTTTCACAGGCATTTATTTTTAGCCTTTATAAAATGGCTATTTTAGATACTGCATATCACCTGCTCCTGATTGAAGTACGATTCAGCTTTAGACGTTAGATTCATCCACTGTTGTGAGTGTTCATCATCGTTCATAAAATATCCTGAAAGTTGTGTTGCAGGAAAAAGACTGTGAACACACGTAGATCAAGCAGAACACATAGATAGAAACACACCATAGCCAATCCTTTGACTTCGGTTTGTTCTGGAAGATTCCTGATCTAAAGTAAAAACACATGGAAGATGGACTCCTTTTGCTCTCATGTATGATGAATCTAAATCTAAGCAGAAGAAAGTAAATGCATAGCCTTTATCTTAAAATTTTTAAACCAGTATTTAATCTGAAGTAAAGCCATTTTAATATAAAATGTATTAAATCAAGTTTGTTGTTTAATCTCCCCCCACACACACAAATTTTCTAATAAAATAAAGCCAATGCGCATAAAGCTTGTCACATCTGTGGGAAAGTACTGTCTCCTTAGAAGCAACTGGCTGACCTCAGCTCCTGACACCTTGACTTTGATTTAGAGGGATTAGACGACAAATATATTTATAGTCCTCTAGTCCTTAATTCTCTCCTGAAAGAGAAATTCAAGGTTTTCCCAGCTTAAAAAAAATAATAATGGAATCAATTTTAATATCCCACTGGAGTAATTCAAAGTGATTTCAATTAATTCAAGGACACTTCATATAAACACACAGTAGCCCTGTCGTAGGAACACCTGCCCATCCCCCAGCAGGTGGCAAATACAATGAAGTCGAGGACGAAGAGGTCCACTTCCTGTCTCCTCTTTTAAACTCCCTTTCTTTCCCTCACACTTCCTGCAATGGTTATTGTGAAGGGGAATTTTTAAGGCCACTGTACAAGGGGCAAAAGATTGCTTTATCTTATTTCTGCAGAGTGCTTTCAGGGTTTAAAGCTCCTTTGGACAGGCTGGACTTGGAAACCCCAGGGTCAGTGTCAGAGCCTTTTGCTTTTGGAGATGATTCTTGGGTAAGCTTAGCTAGCCTGTTCCAGTGTGTTGTACATTGTTCCTTAATTTTGCAATTCTGCTAAGTATCTGGGTGTGTGCTTTAGGTGTGGCAGAGATGAATGTAATGCACCGTAGGTGTGGGAAAAGAGCCAGAAAGGGAAATGGGAGGAGAGTCATACCCAGCCATGAAGATGACCTTTTTCCTGTACCACCTTCCTGTGCTTAGTTTTTACCCTTAAGAACGTATTCTCCTTAGCTGTAAAAATAAGTATGAAAACTCTAAGTGTGTGTAGTTGTTTGTGTGAAGATAGCTCTCTCAGGCGAAGAAATGGAATCTTGTTGACTTAGAGGATATGATTGTCTTAGTGAT